GCATTTGCTAAGTTCTGTGCGTCCATTTAATATTAGATAAAAATATCTCTTACGAGTACATATGCTGAACATTTGCAGGCATTGGTTCATCTTCATATTCTCTGTACTTTTCTGCCACGTCAAATAAATAAATGACACAATGGAAAAAACCTAAAACAAGTAGTCCTATTTCAAACCACATTTACTTACTAATAAAATTTCTTTGTTATGACACTTTCTCCAGTTTATAGGACCTCTCTCATATTCTATCTTGTCATATATAAACTCATAGTCATGTATGTCCTCTAACCATCTCATAACGGTTTCCAAACCACTTTTATCGGATGTAAAGTAAAAGCATGGATGGTTATGTAAAACGTCTAAAGTTTCTAAAGAGTCTCTCAAAGTCCAGTCTACTTGGTATTGAAAATCCCATGTGTTATAGAACGGCGGGTCCACTATAAAGAAAACATTTTCCTTGTCTTTATATTTTTCATACAACTCTGTCCAATGACATCTCACAAACTCTATACCCTCAATATATTTTTCTATGTTCTCTTTGAAAACATTTGTATAGTTAAGATATAAAACTTTTGACATAAGTGTTTCAATGTCATGAACTCTTATAGCACCACTATATAATAGTCTAGCAGATATACTATTCCAGTCTATATATTCTGCTTTTTTCAAAACCTCTCTGACAGTATTTTTCTTATCTAATGGTATACGTTCCATCTTACCTATAGGTATCTTTTCTTTCAACTCACTCAATATTTTGTTTGTGTCTGGTATATGTTTGAGACGGTTCATATAGTTGTCGAAGTCATTGCATATAATCTTTGAGTCAGGAAATACAGTATGGCACAAATGGGATATATAGAAACTTCCACCGAACAAATCTACAAATGTTAGACCATTCGGTAGTTTCTTAAGTTCTCTCAATATAATATCTTTACATTTACTCTTATTTCCAAAGAACGGTAACGGAGGTTTTGTAAAATTCATTTATATATAATAATAAAAATGTTTTTTCCTGAAAAGTGACAGAAAAGTGACAAAACATGAAAACATATATAATTTGTGAAAAGCGACACATTATATAATGTTTTCGACCCAGAAGAAGGCTTCTTCCCAGAAGCAATGGAGGAAGAAGAAGAGTCCTCCGAATTCACACCAGAAGACTAACAATTTTCCGAATAAAAACTTCATTTATACTAAACATCTTCGGGGCTAGAGGGCACGAAGTGCCTGGAAGCCCCACTACCTTTTTTTTTTTTTTTTTTTTTTTTTTTTTTTTCATGTATCAGTATTGCTAATTAGATATACATTTTTGATGTTCGAATCATTTATCCTCATTATATTTTTATCTCAGCAAAAATTATATATTTTTCATGTGATTTGCATGCATATATTAAAGTATTTGGTATGTTGTTAATACTGGACTATTTAATGATTTGTTTTGGAATAAAAAATTATTCCTGCACTTCTTTGATTTGCGTAGTGAAAGAAATTACCCTATTTTATTCCATTAGACATGCAAAGTTTTGTATTTGATGTCTGCTTTTAGTTAAAATACAATATTGGAAATCTTCAAACAAATCTTATTAAACTATGAAGATGATTATTGAAAGAAAAATTACCACAATGGAATATTTCCTTCTATAGCAATTTGTATAATTCAATCAGTCACTGTTTTGAAGTTAATCATTAATTTCACATCAGCAATTTTAAGCAAACTCCAACTGATTTCTGGTTCATTGTAACCATTTTCACTCATTACCACATAAGTATTTAAATTTTTAATACCCCATGGATATTCAAATCAATTGTAATACTCAAATTAAGTCATTTGAATTACTAACACATTCAACCGATGTCTTTTTAAACTTCAAAACAATAGACAAAAATTCAATAATGAAGTCAATCTGTGTTTTTTAATTCCAGTATTTTTTTTAAGGGTGCACTTACCACTTTCGAGTAGGGGTAATTTTAGCTAAAAGTGACACGCCTGTAAAAGTGACACACTCGTGAAGGGTGTGATTACCGATCGGTAATTTCGACAGTTTAGAATTTAAAATTTTTTATGGAACTGTTGCGAGTTTCATAAAGAATTTAAGGAATATAAGCAAAGATTTGAATCAAAATCTTAGACCTAAGCCGATCGCTTCGCTCGCGGCTTTCTTTATTATTTTAAATTTGCATATTTCCATCAAAAGTTCATAAGGTAAAAAATTTCGTTTATATTATTGCAAAATAAAATCTTCATTATCAAAATAATATTAAATGATAATATAATATAATTTATAAACAACTATTATTTAATAAAGTTTAATTGCCAAGGTTCATCTAATTTTTTGATTTTTAATGTTTTATGAATTTTATTTATCATGTATATATCTAATGAAGATTATATATGTAGAAGATAAGTACCTTCATATGTACGTAAAAATTAATGAAATTTATTTTGAATGTAGAACCGAGCAATTTTCAGATTTTGTGCTTTTTTTGAATTTTCTCGATACCAGATAAGTTGTGTTGGCTAAATAATATATGGATACAATGTGTCTTATAGATGAATATATGCACAAAGTTTAAGAGGCCATTTTCTTTCAGAAACCGAGATTTGTGAATTTTTTCAAATTTTGTGCTTTTTTTGATATTGAAATTTCATTTCATTTTTTTGATGCATATCGATGCACCATGCGAACTTAAAGAAAGGCTATCTTATATAGATGCTATGAAAGCTGTCATTGATAACGAATGCCATGCAGGTTGTCCATATCAATTAAAAAAAAATCCAAATTTAGGGGGAACAAAATTAAAATTCAGGTGCAGTGCAGATAAATGTGAAGCATGTATCTCATTTCTAAAGGATGATGAAGAATATATCCTAACAGAATATAATGGAACACATAATCACAATCAAATCAAAGATAAGACAAAGAAATACCACACATTATCACAATGCTATCGTCGGGTACTTATTAATTTTATAAAACAGGGGGTGATCCGAAAATGGCTCAAATTGAATGCGACAAAAAACTTGATCTGGATGATCCACTTAACAGGCCATCTTTTTTGAATGCATCTTCAGATCAAATGAAAACAATTCAGGAAAAAGGAAATAAAAAGATCAAAGGTATTCAAAAGTACGATGATAATCAATTCAAGTCAACTCAATTATTTAAGGGTATCAAAGAACAAGAGTCACCAAAAGATTTAATTTATTTCGATGTCGATAATTACAACAAACCAAAGAAATTAATCTTTTATTATGCTTCTTTCAAATTTCTGGACATAATCAAAATTGTGAAAGAGCATTTTATTGATGCAACCCATTCATTACTTGAATTTAAAATGTTGTTTTACATGATATCAGCCAAATTTCCAAATACACATGCATTCCCAATTTTTCAATTTGTCGTTTATCCAAACACTTCAGAAAATATTGCATTCTGTCTCAAGGCATTTTTTAACTGGGCAAAAGTAAAACCAAAATATTTTATGTCAGATTGTGCACAAGAAATCGAAAATGCGATTATCAACTCTTTTCCAGAAGTTATCCTTCATTGGTGTGCAGTTCATGTAATGAGGGCGTTCAGAAAAAATTTGAAAGATTATGCATTTGAGAGTTCAGACAAATTGATATTAGATACAAAAATGAACTATCTTGCATACGGCAGAAATGGCAAGAAAGAATGGATTGAACCAACGTTCAAAAAAATTCTGGAAATAGCCGAAAAATTCCCAGAATTTTCAAAATACATACAAAATCAATGGATATCAAACCAAGAAAGATGGACAGCCGCTGAAAGAGATGAAAATTTAGCTCTCACAAATAACATTTCAGAATCGATTAACAAAAAAATTAAATATTACTACTTTGGCGGAACAATTTTCATGAGATTTGATCGATTTGTGATGAAATTAATCGATTTTATCGTTCCTTCATTTTATTACAGAATTTCTCAAGATATAAGGCTCAGAGACAAAATTCCAAATCCGTTGCCATCTGAAAAAAAGCCAAAAAAGTCTACAATCAGACTGGATACAGAAAAATGTATAATGCTCACTGATAAAATTAAATCGTTAATAGTTAACTCATCAGCAAACTTAAATACGCTTCAATTGGGTTTAGATGACCTACTTGATAAAGTTGTCAAGGCAGCAAAGGTTCAAAAACGAATGACCCAGTATTTTTCGAAATTAAGTATCCCAATGGAAATCAAGCTTAGTATTCTCACGCAAATTACAGAATTTGGATGCAATACCCCTCAATTCATTGTTGAGAATGCCAAGTCTTTTCAAGATAAAATTATTACAGATTTCCACCTTCAAATTTATACAACATTATAAAAATTTATGAATAAAAACTTGATATAAAATAACATTTTTATTTTTACTAAGAAAAAAAAAGGTTTTTGATAATAAATTTATTTTATTTCGAAAAAGTAGCAATAATCGTAAAAGGGTATTGATAGGCTTGCTAAAGTAACTAATTTTAGCTGTCAAATACTTTTGTATTTTGAAGTAAATTAGTATAAATTTGATATTATTTTAACTCCCTTTGAAAACCTCAATTTTCCATACAGAGGGAACGGGAATAGCATCCAATATTCCCTGAGAATGGTTGCGCATTCTCAGTTCCCTCTATATTTCGAACGAAGCTCTCATCGGTCTTTTTTTTAATACTAAACGTTTTTTTTCCTGTCACTTTTAGCTAAAATTTGGGTTTGCCTACCACTTTCTGACATTCTCTCAATTTTTTGACATTCTAGTTTTTTATTCAAATTTTCTAAGGTAAAACGTCATTAACTTTGTTCGGAAAGAAGTTATTTTAACTCATTCTATAGTACCTTATATTACTGTTATACTTTTTTTGCAATCACAATAATGATATATTGATATTATGGAAGCATGTCAAAAAGTGGTAAGTGCACCCTTAAATTAATCAGATATCTGTTTTTATTGATTAATTTAAATTTTATTCACATGTTGAAAAAAAATATTTTAGATTGTTATTATTTTGCACCTGATTTAAGAAGAAGATTCATGATCTTCTTATAATTTTCATTCTCGTTTTGTTTCTCTTTTGCAATATCAAGTGGAGTTTTTCCATCTTCGTTCTTGTCACTAAGATCGACACGGATTGAAACTAAAAATTCAACAACTTTAAAATGTCCTTTCTTTGCTGCCTGATGAAGTGAAGTATTATTGGAATTTGTTTTATCATTTTTGTTACATCCTATTTGAATCAAATATTTAACTACTTCAAGATGACCATTTGCTGATGCATCAATTATTGGGGACCATCCTTTATTAGTTTTCACATCTGGATTTCCTCCAACTGAAACAAGATATTTTACTACTTCAAGATGACCTTTTTTTGATGCCATGTAAGTACAATTTGCATTATCTTTTTGTTTAGAGTTAACATCACAACCAATACTTATCAAATATTTAACAGTTTCAAGTTGACCGTATGATGATGCAATAAGAATTGGATTAAATCCATATTTTTCCTTTCGCCAATTTTTATCAAAACCAACTCCAATTAAATATTTTACAATTTCAAGATGTCATTTTAATGATGCTACAACTAAACAATTGTTTCCGAGTTTACTAATTGCATTTCTATCACAACCTCCTTCAATAAGAGATTTTGTAAATTGAAAATCACCCATCATACATGCTTGAATGAGTGGTGTACATTCATATAAATCTCTCTTTTCACTTAATCCAACTGCACATGAAATAGACATCTTCAGTTTATCATCTTTATCTGAAAGTCCTTTAAGGAAATTGTAAACTGCATTAAAATCATTTGAATTCAACGGAAAATCGTATTGTTTTGCCAATTGGGTTACTAATTGATTGTTTTTGCTATTAAGAGCAGATATTTCGTCTTTGTATTGTTGTCTTTCACTTTTGTATTGATTGATTTCATTTTCCATCGTAGCTATCTTTGATTTGAGAGTTTGAATTTCAGATTTTAATTGTGTGACTTCTTCTGAATCTAAATTAATTTTTGTTTTGTTTTCCTTAAGGTAATTGATTAATGAACGAGAAGATTCGAGTTTGAAGTTCTTTTTATAGCATTTAAGAACGTTAATCGCGTCTTCGAATGAATTAATGGAAACATCGCATTTCCGAATAAAAGAAAATAGTTCAGATGTACTGTATTTTGATTTACCTTGAGAAAGAAGAGCATTGAAATCGTGAGTATTAAGTTTGACTTTTTCTAATACTTGTGGAATGTCATCTTTATCTACAATGTCAAAGAATTTCTCTTGAACGATGTATGTTTGAATGTTGTTAGCGATATAATCAAAATCAACAGTCAGGTCACTCATAAAAAAAATTGTTTGAATAAAAAAGATTGTCAAAAAAGGTGCAGAATTTCTGAGAGTCTGTTCGCCAGAAAGTCTACATTTGTAAACTCTCTGACACTATAAAAAGTTTTGTCCTTTCAAAGCTTTATTTGTTCTCCAAAAGTACGGAGTTGATATTAAGTAATTTCGTCCTTTTTATCGTAGCATGGTCTCAAATAACAGAATAATTATTGATAATTCAAAATTTTCAAATCTAAAAATTTGTTAAATTCTGTTCATTTTTAAAAATATATGATTAAAACTGATAGTCAAAACATTTCCTCAAGATAAAGTCATAAAAAATTGACTTTTATACCTGGCATTTTAAAAATAAATTCGAAATTTTGATATTCATTAATTGCAATAGCATTATTGAAAATACATATTTTCAATTTTATGAATTTCTTGCCATAAGTAAATGACAGCTCCTGATTTTGCGTCATTCTCTTTCCCCGAGCCACCTACTTTTCCAGGTGGAGGCAACCAAATTCGTATTGACCCTGCAGCAAAGAATCCTATCACTGCCGCAATCCAAAAAGCCTCTCCAAACTCGACAATTATTGTTCCTGCCGGCGAATACTTCGATAATGTCGTCATTGACAGACCAATTGAGATCATTGCCGAAGGACAAGCAACAATTAAGGCAGCTTTAGCTAAAGACACTTTTACAGTAAATGACAATTGCCACATTAAGGGCATTCAGATTGTTCCAGGCGACTCCCAAGCCACATCTACAATGAAAGTCAACTCAGGATCTGTCCTTATCGAAGAATGCATCATGGTAACACAGATGGTCCCAACTCTTCTCATTGGTCCAAAGGCATCAAACGTTTTCATCAGAAAATCTACCCTCCAGTCAGAGGCTGTTTGTGGTTTACGCGTTCAAGGCAGCATGGCACTTGAACTTTCCGAATCACAGCTTGTCAACACAACAGGTGCCGGTATCATGCTCACTGGCAACTCCAAACTTCATACATTCAGCAGTGTTATCGCTTCTTGTGGTGATGCAGGCATTGTTGCACTCGAATCTTCCTCATTGTATCTTGATTCAACACAAATCTCCCAATGCGCCGGCAACGGTCTTGAATTAGATACACAAGGTGAAACTACAATCACCCAGTGCCTTATTTCCGCTTGCAGCTATTGCGGAATTAACGCTCTTGGTGCAACCCGCGGAAAGATCTACAACACAAGCATTGAACAGTGCTATGGTGGTATTTCTGCCTCAGAGCAATACCACGTCACCCTTGAAGGCTGTCAGATTTCCAATTGCAGCCAAGATGGCGCCCTTGCCGCCGCAATCGGAGCCACTATGGAACTTTCTGGCTGTGTCTTACAAGGCTCATCAACACTCGGTATCCAATGCAACGCCAGCCAAGTTACAGTCACAGGATGCCAGCTTTCATCTCTTACAGGCGCAGGCATTACAATTGTTAACGGTGGCAACATGACAATTGACAGCACATCCATCAAGGATATTACAGAAAATGCCATCGAAGTATCCAACAATTCAAGATTAACAATGTCAAACTCTTCCGTTGAGAATACAGACCTTATTGGACTCTTCGTTGAGGGCAACTCATCTGTCGACGTCAATACATGCAGCTTCTCAAAGTGCGGCGTTGTCTCTTGCCACTTCATCGATTCTACACAGAACTCAAACTTCGAAAAGTGCACATTTGTCGAATCCAACGGTAACGGCTTCAACATTGGCAAGGCCTCTCCAAGATTTACAGAGTGCGCATTCCACGCCAGCACCTTTGCCGGTGTCGAAATCAAGGGACAGTCTACATCTCCACAGTTCTTCGCATGCCAGTTCACAGGAAACAAGGTTGTCGGTGTCAGCGTTGTTGAAGGCGCTTCTCCATACTTCGATGGCTGCGCATTTACAACAAATCTTGGTTCTGGTATCACAATTTCCAAGAGTGCATGCACTGTTTCACAATGCGCTTTGATGAACAACAGCAAGATGGGTCTTTTCGCTTTCGATGGCGCTAATGTCCAAATCGAGAAATCCATGTTCCAAGAAAACAACAACTTCGGTATCCAGGTACAGAAGAAAGGAACAACAGTCACTGTTTCCGAGTGCGAAATCCAGAAGCACCAGAACAGTGGTGGTGTCATTCTCGAAGAAGGCTGCCATCTTTCAATGGTCAGATCATCAGTCCACGACAACAAGGCACCAAACATCGAAGCAAGAAGAGACGCAAGACTCGAAATCGAAGGCTCAGACATCTCCAAGTCAGTCGGCGGTAACTCAATCATGATCCACGAAGGAGGTTCTGGTGTCATCAATACATCATTCATCCACGACGAAGAAGAATCAGGTGTTCTTATCGGAAATAATGGTAATGCAGAAGTCACTGGATGCGATATCTCAAACTGCGACGTCGCAGCCATTTACTTACTCCAGGGAAGCGATGGCAACATCCACGGAAACAGAATCCACGACAACAAAGTCTCTGGTGTCCACATCGTCACTGGATCTCCAAAGGTTGTCGATAACATCATCGAGGATCAGGCATACGGTATCTACATTGAATCAGGTGCATTCCCACAAATCTCTGGTAACCAGTTCAATAGGAACTCACAGACAAACGTAAACAGAGCTTAAACTCTATAATGAGTAAAATCTTAATTTTACGTATCACACAAACTATTTTCATAATTTTTTTTATCTAAACTCATGAGAAGGTATCTTTAAAGAGATTTTTTTAATGATATTTCTTTGATATCTCAAATCACCCTATGTGAAAAGGATGGCGACAATGAATATAGGTGCATTGGAATTATAAATGGAACTGGTCATGTTGATTTCTATCACTTAGTTTTTCAACTTAGGATGCATTGCAAATAAGAATGAAGTAGCAACTCTTTTGACAACAACTTAAGGGGAAAAAAGCATGTGCGCGAACTCACTAACAGAATACATTGTGAGATAAGTGATATATCTTTGGCTTGAGTATTAAGGACTCTGCAGATGCTTTAGTATCAAAAATCTTCGAAAATAATTTTGATTAACATCATTTAGACACTAATAGCTTAGATTTAGAATATCAGTGGTTATAAATTATTAAAATATTAGCAAAATGTTCAAATATGATCTTAATATTTATGGAAATCATTCAATAACAGCTGATTAACTTTGTGTGTATGAAATATAGGTAGAAATAAGTCTATTTGCTACATTTGACAAAAAAAATATAAAAATTGACATATAAAATTTTTATTTTTTGAAATTTGTCGACCACGAATTTACAAGTATTGAATTTGTTGGGCCTTTCGAAGCTATGTCTTCTGTCTTCTACATCGACTGCCAGGCTCCAGTTGCTGACAAGTTCTTCCAGCTCCAGGAATTCGTTGAATACCTCCAGTCCCACATGAAGGTTGACAACCTCCGCAAGAACCTTGCTAACAAGGTCACAATCGAGGCTGATGCTGGCGCTAACAAGATTGTTGTCAACGCTTCCGTCAAGTACTCCAAGCGTGCCTGCCGTTACTACGCTCGTAAGTTCCTCGCCAAGAAGGACATCCGTAGCCGCTTCCACGTTATCGCCTCCGGCAAGGACACATACGAACTCCGCCCATACCGTGTTTCCAACGAGTAAACACTCTAATATATTTTGGTATCAATTTATAATTCTTTTTTTACTTACAACTAATAACCAAAAAAAATCGATTATATTCTGAATACCGGGAGATTTTGTTTCCAAACTTTGAAATTATGTTTAAAATGATCAAAAGATCATATCTTTCCAGTAAAAATGGCACGCGGTTTTTCAAGCAATAAAAATCGTTTTTTTCGAAGAAATTTTTGTAAACAAAAAAAATTACAATGACTGAAGAAGAGCTTCCTTCAAGTGATATTAACCCTGGAAATGCTCTTGACAGAGTTCAGGAATGCCAGAAATACTTAACTCTCCAAATGTGGACTCAATACACCTTTTTATATAAACATCTTGCACAGTTTCAAGACATTCGCGTTCGTGGAGCTGGTAAAATGCTTCGTGATGATGATGAATTTACCAAAGCTTGGAATGCTCTTCGAACTTCCTCCGTAGATATGATGTTAAAATGCTTAGAAAGTGCGCAGAGTTTTGAAGAATTCAAACTTTGGATAAACCACCTTGCTCCAATTGTCAATGATCCACGTACGCTTTGGAATATTATTCATACAGAAGTTCAATGCAGTTTGAAAGTGACTCTTGAACAATCCAGAGAGATTCAGGATGCTTTCTTTACTCATGAAATGCTTTTCGAATACAGTCTTGAGTCATTTTTACACTCAAGTCTCTGTGATTTCAAAGAAGCAACGACAGAAGAAGGTTTAGTTGATATATTCTATGCTGCTGCAGGTTTCATTCGCGCTTGCCAGCTTCCTGATGAATACAGAGTTACTCAAAAGCCATTCATTGACCATGTCGAGAATCTTCTCACTCATTTCACGGAGATTCCTGATTTTGATGCTAACAGATTTGTTTGGTTAGTTGAATCGATTCATGATCACCTCCATTTATTGGAAAATAACTTCATCCAAATCTGCAAATCCGTATTAGAGAAAATGATTAGCCACAAAGATACAGGAGGTGGCTCAATCTCTAAGTTATACAAGATGTGCGTAATTTCTACATCTCCTTTCTTACAATCTCTCCAAGTTATCAGGGATTCAATTGACAAAGCCTTCGAAGCTGTTTTAATTGAGCAGCACAGCTTTGCAAGGAAGTATATATTCGGAGGATACGTCAATTGTCTTTGGACTGGTCCAGAACAGAAAAGAATTTCAGATCCCCTCAGAACATGGGTTTTATACATTAATAACCTTCAAAAGAAGATTAAACAGCATTCAGAACTCCCTGTTCTCCTTCTTGCTGACTTTGTTGATGATTCTTTGCAATATTTCACTGGATATTACGGAGAAGTACAGCCAACAAAGGAAAGAGCTGTTAATTTGAGGATGGATCTCTTCACTATTGTCCAAACTGTTAAAGATGTCTATCCAATCAAGTTTACAGACGCATTTCTCAAAAAATTGTGGTTCTTGCTCACAATTGTAGCTGTTTGCGGTGCTTCTGATGAACAGCTACAGAATATTAAGCAGGAGAATGCTAAAGCTGAAGATCCATTCCTTGGATTGAAGCAAAATGGAAGAGATTTCGAAGATTATTCGTTAGCTTTAGGTGTCTTGCAAAAGAAGTTTAAAGATGAAGTAGATTCATTCCCTATTATGATTGAATTTATTAGAAAACGTATGAATGGTGTTATTGATGAAGAATAAAATATTAATTTCATGGATTTTTTATATATAAATTAATAAGTTTTTGTTAAGAAATATGTATGTAATAGGAAGTTCTTATATACCTCCATGAATGTTCCATTCATTGCTATTCTATTACTATCAAACTCTTATGCTCTTCGAAGAGGAGTTTTTTCTTTCATGATTTCTAGTATTGATCATGATTTTTATTCAAAAAAAATGGGATCTTGAGTTTCCTACATGAGTTCTTATTTATTAAACAATGTCTTGTAAAATAAGAAACTATATTGTCGTAAGAAAATCATATGCAGCCGACAGATGAATGGGATTAAACCTTCTTAGAATTTTATATATATATATATCTTTTCGTGTATTGTAAAGTCAATTCAGATGTCGTAGACTTTATGCAAGACCAAAACTAAATCAACATTATGTAAAATGCCTTGGAATTTCATTCATCATGAATTTTTGGCTTGATCTTATTTTTAATATAGGGTGTCCAAAGGTGTGTTTAGCACAAACCTGAATACTGCGAATAGAAATAAACAAGTTACATATATATAAAGTTTATTTAAATATAATCACCATTGGATTCAATCACGCGTTCGCAGCGATCGATCCAGGCTTGAAAGACACGCTTTAAATCATCATGAGAAAATTGCTCAAATTGCTCTCTTACAAAATTTTCAAGATCATCTGGACTCGCGAATTCGCGTCCTTCAGCTCTCTTTTTTAGCGTGCCGAATAAATAAAAGTCAGAGGGTGCAATATCAGGTGAATAAATTGGGTTTGGAACAACTTTGACATTGTTTTCCACCAAGTAATTCATTACCTTATGACTTTTGTGAACTCTTGAATTATCAAAATGAATTGCAAACTTTTGTTTTTGTTGTTTGGATTTCTCAAACTCATCAGAATTGATAATTTGAGTAAGAACATTGTCAATTAGATACTGAGCATTCATCGTATTAGGTTTTTGAAGAATATCAATTGCGATGATGCCATTCACGCCCCAAAAAACCGACAACATCATCATTGGTGTGTTAATTTTTTTCTTCGGGAATGTTTGCGGATTTTCATCCTTCGGGATCCACATGATTTTGGCTTCTGTTGCATATTGAAACCAAGACTCGTCCCCTGTTACTAAAAAGCGAAACTTCTTGGATTGATACGCACCCAATATAGAGAGGAGCTCTTTCGAAGATTGGACTCTAGATTTTTTTTGAACTGAATTAAGGTTGTGCGGAACCCAACGTGTATACGCTAGTTTGTAGTTCAAATAATTGTGCAGATAATAACTGACTGTTGTACGTGGTATCTTTGTCATCTCCTCTATCCTTCTGAGTGATGCTCTTGGGTCTTCATCTAGCGCTTGAAGAATTGCTTTGATTTTTCTTTGATCCGGCGATTTTTTGTCAATTTTTATGATGGGCGCCTTTTTGTTCATGAAGTGATACATCCTAACATGATACGTTACAGTGGAATAGCTAGGAGCATCCATACCGAAGCATTTTACCAATGTCTCGTAGATTTTTTTACAGTCTTTGCATTTTTTTGCAAGAGCGAGGATGTTTTCTTTATGATTCATTAAAAAAATGAAAAAAATCCCGCCAAAATTTCCCGCGAAACCGCCTCTTGCCTCAAAATTCATTTTATATCCCGGCATGGCGCCAAAATACAACATACTCATCATATACATATATTCATATTTTTTATTATATATTTATAATCAGCATATATCTCCTTTAATAGTCTCATATAGAGCGCTGTGCTAAACGCACCTTTGAACACCCTATATATTCATTCGTAATTTCGAAATCTACTCCTAATTATAAATATTCAATCAGAAATCAAGAAAATCGTACTAACTCAGTAAAATCATATTTTAACAAAACATCTAATCCTCTATCGCGATTACACACATTCTCAGCAAAAATTGAGCAAAGTAAGGAAGCAAAAACTTCATCTATTATATAATAATGTTTTTTAGGAGCTAAAAAGAATAAAGATTTTTTTCAAAATCAGGTGTTTAAATCATCTTAAAATTTGCCCATAAATTGCAAATCATTTCTTAGAGCAACCATTTCTTCTGGTGTTTTACCAATGGCATTTCTAACTGTTAGATCAGCACCTGGTTGGGCAATTAGGAAATCATAAACTTGATTGTTTTGATTTCGTCGGGCATAATGGAGTGCAGTATTTCCAATAATATCCTGAGAATTGATATCAATATATTGTAGAGCTAATTCTACATCTTGAATGGACCCCTTTAGTGCATATAAATGTAACATTGAGTTCAAATCTTTTGATCGAGATTTAGGATTTGCGCCAAATTTGATAAGCAAATCCCTCAAATTATTATTTTGTTTAAAGACTGAATTCAAAAGTGCATCAATTCCAAAAAGTGTATCTCGAACATCAACAAACATTTCATCGACGGCAACTTTAATTGTGAATTCATCACCTTCGTTTGCAGCTTTTTCTAACAAGTTATTGATTTGCAAAAATTTGGAATTCAGTTTTGGAATATTTCTCAAGGCTGCAGTATTAGCCTCACTTGTTGGAACAACTTGAGCGGTAAGTGAACGCGGCATTCAACAAAATTAATGATTTTGTACTCGGTTTTTAAGAATTTTCAATTTTTCAAAGGGAAAAAAATCCAAAGAAATAATTTTCAAAGAAAAAAAATTCCAAGATATTCCAAAAAAATTCCAATGGAAAAAAGAATTCATATTCCAAAATCATTTTTGCTTTGAAATTATATTGTGAAGAATCTTCACAAAAATTTCTCGATCTGTTCCCTAATTTAAGAGTCCCGACGATGCCCAATTTATATGGTCAACCTATGAGCAACCTGAAATGGTAAGTATATGTATCGATAATAGAGTAGTGCCGCGTCATTTGAACTAACTCCAGAACTTTGGGAAACGGTATTTGAACAACAATTCTTTTGACGCAAAATTCAATCTAAATGCTTTAAATGTGGCATGGAGATATTTTCCAAATGATATATGCGATTAAATAAGCTAAATTTAATTTAAATCGGATAAAATCACAAACATTTAATCTTAATAAATTGAATTGATACATAATATAACTATTACCATGATTTACTATGTGTGTATAACCAATTTAAAGAACAAATCTGGACTGAGAATTACGTAAAACAGGGATATTTGATTTTAATTTAAATCTATTTGAACTATCATCTTCCATATGGCTAAGAAGATTTGTAGTTGATTTTGGAATATGAGAAGAGTTTGATCTAGCTAATTTCTTGGAAAATACAGGGATTTTGGATTGGAATTTGTTGAACTTTGGAGTCTTCTTTAAATCAGTTTCTGTAGATTTCGTAATTGTAGAGTTTTCATCTATATTTTCTGTTTTTATATCGATATTATTTGAATTTTTTGTTTCATTGAGGTTCTTTTGTTCAATCTCTTCAAACCAATTGTCATTTACAGAACAATCCTCATTTGATAGATCACACCAGTGAGGTGCATCGAATTCCCAATCAAAATCTATATAAACTTCATTAAAATTGCTCATTTAGGAAATGAATAAACTTCATTAAAAAAGCTAAACGTACGGTATTTATGTTTTACTAATAACGAGGGCATCAGCGAGATTATAAATGTTACATATAAGGTGTCCATTGACAGTACATATAATACATGCATGTTTTGCATGATGAAATATACAATCATTTACTGATTTCCTAATTCCAATGATATTTGTAAAAGATGCAACGGAATAATGAATCTTTTGATGTATGTAAACTAATATGTGATAATGTCTAAGTTGAACGAAGTAATATTATAGATTATAGTACTATTTCATAAATAGTTTGGAAAAAAAGGGGAAATTGTCTTTAAAAATATGCTGGTAACTTTTCACCAAACTGATCTAATAGAAATCGCTAAAATGGAAGAAGTAATTAAAAGAATTTTCCAAATTCTTTATAAATGTCTCTATCGAATGCGCATCATGCTTTCCTTTGAAGTTTGGTTTGCTGACATCCTTATGTAAATCAGTAAGGCTTTGACTAAATTGCTAGGTAATTGAAGATGGATCACAAATTATCTTGACAAATTCTCTATTTTGCGAACTTTTTTTTAAAAAAATCTATTTTGTCATTGTTTTGTATAATAAGAATTAAATAAAAAAAAAAAAAAAAAAAAAAAAAAAAAGGTAGTGGGGCTTCCAGGGGCTGCGCCCCTTCTAGCCCTGAAGATGTTTAGGAGAAATGAAGTTTTGAGGACATACATGACTGTGAGTTTTATTTACGACAAGATAGAATATGAGAGAGGTCCTATAAACCGGACAAGTAAGGGTCATATAAACATCTGTCATTTTACTCAGAATTTTACTCAGAATTCAATAAAAATATATTTTAGGGTAGAAGGTTAGATATAACCTCTTTTCTAACCTCTTTTCTACCCTCTTGAATTTGTCAAGATTTCTTCGTAAATGTTTTGTCACTTTTCTGTCACTTTTCAGGAAAAAAACATTTTTATTGTATATAAAATGAATTTTACAAAACCACCGTTACCCTTCTTTGGAAATAAGAGTAGATGTAAAGATATTCTATTGAGAGAACTTAAGAAACTACCGAATGGTCTAACATTTGTAGATTTGTTCGGTGGAAGTTTCTATATATCCCATCTGTGCCATACTGTATTTCCTGACTCAAAGATTATATGCAATGACTTCGACAACTATATGGACCGTCTCAAACATATACCAGACACAAACAAAATATTGAGTGAGTTGAAAGAAAAGATACCTATAGGTAAGATGGAACGTATACCATTAGATAAGAAAGATATTGTCAGAGAGGTTTTGAAAAAAGCAGAATATATAGACTGGGATAGTATATCTGCTAGACTATTATATAGTGGTGCTATAAGAGTTCATGACATTGAAACACTTATGTCAAAAGTTTTATATCTTAACTATACAAATGTTTTCAAAGAGGACATAGAAAAATATATTGAGGGTATAGAGTTTGTGAGATGTCATTGGACAGATTTGTATGAAAAATATAAAGACAAGGAAAATGTTTTCTTTATAGTGGACCCGCCGTTCTATAACACATGGGATTTTCAATACCAAGTAGACTGGACTTTGAGAGACTCTTTAGAAACTTTAGACGTTTTACATAACCATCCATGCTTTTACTTTACATCCGATAAAAGTGGTTTGGAAACCGTTATGAGATGGTTAGAGGACATACATGACTATGAGTTTATATATGACAAGATAGAATATGAGAGAGGTCCTATAAACTGGAGAAAGTGTCACAATAAAGAAATTTTATTGGTAAGTAAATGTGGTTTGAAATAGGACTACTTGTTTTAGGTTTTTTCCATTGTGTCATTTACTTATTTGACGTGGCAGAAAAGTACAGAGAATATGAAGATGAACCGATGCCTGCAAATGTTCAGCATATGTACTCGTAAGAGATATTTTTATCTAATATTAAATGGACGCACAGAACTTAGCGAATGCACAGCAACCTGGACAACCAAACCCAGAGAATATTCCAAATGAAGTTAGAATACAAACTGCAATGGCAAACTATGGTCAAGTGCCAACAGATGTACAAATGCAAACTGCCATGTCAAATGACGCTGCGTTAGGTTTGCCACCATGGTATGCAAATATGAGATGGAAAGAGTTTTATACAAACCCTGAAGTGGGATATAAACAACTCTATGCAGATGACGCGAACACAGGAGTTGACCCAGAGTATGTTTTCTACCAGAGGAGAAACAGAATGTATGAGCTCCAGTTAAAGAATGCTATGGAACTCAACAGGAAACGTAAGAGACTAGGCGGACATTAGATTTTTACATATAGTAAAATGGGTTTCTTCAGTAAGATAGGAAACTTCTTCAGAAATGTTGGAAGAGGTATATGGAATGGAATAAAATCTGTCGGAAGAGGAATTTGGAACGGTGTCAAAAATATTGGTAAAAGAGTAGGTCAGTTCGTTGGTATTATACCTAAAGACCCTGAACCAGAAGAACAAGCTCCTGTTATACAACAGCCTGAACCTGCACCACAGTCAAGTTGGCAACCAAATCCAACACCTCAACCGTATTAAAATTATATTTTTACCGTTCGATAGTAGTTGTATATGAAACTAAGTTCTAAGTAAAACGCGTGGTATAATGGAATTATTCTCTTTCTTCCATCTGTAGTAAACCATACTTGAAAGTCTGAAATACTTCCACTTGGTGGTTCATATAACTTTGTAGGTTTTTCGTAAAAGTCATTTGCCAAGCATAAGAAAGAGTTTTGGGCGCCAGAAAATGAAGCATGAACAATAATAGCAGCTGGGTCGAAAACATCTTTAAATAAATATGGTTCATCTCTTGCATATCGACTGTAAATATTTGCTAAAGGAAGTTCGACTTTCTGATTTAACATTCTTTGCAAATAATACCATGACATTGCAGTGAATTCTGTATATATTTGTTCGTCTTTCTTTGGATTGTCTTCGTAGATTTGAAATGACACTTGTGAATTTTGTTTGTCATATACAATTCTCACATAAAGTGTGCTCTCGGTATTTGCATATTCATCAGCATATTTTGCATAACATGAATTTATTTTATCTTCTATATTTTTTAACGCAGTCTGTAGAGAAGATGAAAGGTCAACTTGTATTAGCTCAATTTCTTCCCACATTTTTCGTTTCCCTTCAGATATATAATCTATATGAAACCTTACAATAAATGGAAAACTTTTATCTTCTACAGACACAAACTTCATTCTACGAAAGCCAATAGCTTTTGTGACGGATGGGTCTCTTAACCATCTTAGTGGGTAGTCAAAACGATAGCCTTCATGCTTTACGGTCTCTGTCTCAAACTTTTGACCGACATTCGTAAAAAGTTCATCTAATGGTTTAGTTGTAGCAACTCTTGAATTTTCTTTTTCTATTGAAAGCATATTTTATCTAGAATAAAAATGTCAAATGAAACAGCGTCTATGAGAGAAATACAACACAACCGACAACTCATTGTACAAGCTCTAAATAAGAACACAACAAACTTTTCAAACTATTCTAAGATATCTGAGTCATTGAAAGAAGGAAACTTAAAACTGACGATAAACCCATTGACAGACGAGTTTCTGTTTCAAGACAGTAAGAACCATACTGTTTGTATAAATCCAACAAAAAGAACTTTAAACGAGAAACCTATAGATGAACTTCTTTTGAAGGCAGATATTGACAACAAAGCTGACAAAGAGTATGTAGATGCAACAAGAGACTATATTCTCGCATGGACAGATAGAACATACCCACAAAAACATCATACACATAACATCTATGACGTAGATGAACTTCAAGAAATGTTAGATGACAAAGCGGATAAAACATATGTTGACAATAAAATGTCAAGTGAAGTGACAAGAGCTGACAAAGAATATTCTAAAAAGACTCATACACATACCATTGCAAATATTACAAACTTACAAGAAACCTTAAACAGGAAAAGTGACGTTGGACATACACACGATTTCTTCGCAACTGTTGGTATAGAAAATATTGAAGGAACGGTTGAAGAAACTGGTGGGGATGTATTAAATTGGAAACCTCCTAACTTTCCACAAGGTTTAACATCGGAGGATGACATAACAACGATGAAAGACATTAAATGTAGAAATGTTTTTGTCATGGAGGATGAAAACAAAGTTAAATTCACTGCTCAAGATTTATATGACAACAAAGCTGACAAAACATATGTTAACGATGAGTTAGATAAAAAAGCTGACAAAACAGAGCTTCAAACGTTAAAGACAGAAATACTTCAAACACTATATCCTATAGGTTCTATTTATACGTCAATGAACTCTACCAGACCAGAAGTAGTACTTGGTCTCGGAACTTGGACTCAAATAGTCGACAGGTTTTTGTATTGTGCAAACTCTTCAAAGGAAACAGGTGGAAGTAAAACGATTTCAGGTGAAAATTTACCTGCACACAGTCACTACATAGATTTAAGTACATCTCAAGCAGGTTGGCATAAGCATAAATTTTGGGATTGGCACGCCTTGAAAAAAGGTAAAGGATATGATGTTAAAGACGACGTTCAGTTTGCTATAAATTGTTACTGGAGTGACACTCAGGGAGATGGAAACCATACACATCGCGTTTCAGGCTATACGCAAACAACGGGACAGAGTAAAGACTACATGCCACCTTACATGACAGTTTACGCATGGTATAGAAATGCTTAGTCGTCATTTTCAACTTCTTTAGCATATTCGTCAGCAGTTGTCTTATATTTGTTAGGAACTGTCTTTGAAAGTATACCACCTTGAACCTTAACAAGTTTGAAACGAGGTCTGACAATAGTAGTTTTATCTTCTGCTTGCAGTCTGTACATTTTGCCATGTTTGCCTAAAACTTCATAATATTCTCTTGTATACTTTCTTCTATTTTTACGAACACGAAGGTGAGTACCTGTCGGGTTCCCATTGTTGTCATAGTCAATAGTATTTTCATATGGGTCGCGTTTAGGTATTTCTATTTT